ATGAGTTGACCGCCTTGGCCGTCCTCCATTCCAACAAAGGTCAGCCCAAAACACTTCATTTCTTCTAGTTCTACATGCATTCTATGCAGCCTTGAAAGAAAACTCCTTAGCTTGCCACTCAATTCTGTCTGATCCACCCTTAACTTAAAACTGCACCAAAAACTGATACAGCTTATTAGTAATGTTATCAAACTGAGTCGCATCCCAATCACTTGCTGTAAGAAAGTCTCCAATCCAGCTTTCTATTTCTACTAAAATAAGAGAAGATTCTATGGTTAATATCAGCTCTCCATTACACTATGGATCCATAAAAAACTTTGTATTCCTGCCATCCCCAATAATGTATGTCCAATTGCTTTTAATGATATCCCTCACATCCACAATACTCTTCCAAATAGAAGATGAAACAGCCCTAGGCACCACCTGCCAATAAGATGCATCTCTCAAATAAACATTCAAGTACCAAGCAACCCAGATTTTATCCTTGGTCAACAAATCCCAAGCTAATACACATTTTGAAGCTCTGTTCAAGTCACCAACTCTCCTGATACCTATACCACCTTCTTCCTTTGGAGAAGATAACTTAGACTAGTTCAACCTATGCATCTTAATTCTGTTACCAACATGACCCTAAACAAAATTTCTCATCCTTTTCTCAATAATATTGATAACAGCTGCAGGTGAATAATATACTAAGGTCCAGTATTGAATCATAGGAGTAACAACTGCCCTGCACAGCTCCACTCTACCTGCTAAAGAAATGTTCAAGCCATTCTATTTAGTAGTAGAGGCATTAATCTTGTCTAACAATTTGGAGCAATATTTCATTCTCAATAATTTATCAGATATAGGTAGCCCAAGATAAGTAAAAGGAATAGAACTTGATTTATAACCCAGCAATCTAGAAATAGAAATCTTTCTTCTCACAGTTCTGGTCGTGTAAATTTCAGATTTATCTTTATTAATCACAAGTCCAGACAATTTTGAGAATTTCTCCATAATATTCTTGAGAGTAATCACAGTTCCCATGTTGGCTTTAACCACAAATAGCAAATCATCAGCAAAAAATTGGTGAGTAACATCAACACCTGCCTTCCTTGCACTTTCAGACTTCACAATCTTCCCTTCCCTCACACTGGCTTCCACCATACTAGAAAAATAATCAGTGATAAGAGTAAACAGAAGAGGAGACAGTGGGCATCCTTGTTTCAAACCTTTTCCAGACTTGAAATGACCATAAGGACTACCATTAATCAAGATGGAAAACCAAACATAGGTAATACATTCTTTTATCCAAGTAATCCATTTGGCCTCAAAACCATACAACTGTAACAAGTTGAAGATAAAATTCCACTGAACTGAATCATATGCTTTCTGTAAATCCACTTTCCATGCCAAAGTAGGTTTTGTATATTTAGTACAAAACCCTCTCATCAATTCATGAGTTATGATGATATTATCTTGGATCTTTCTTCTTTTCAAGAATGCATTTTGTTCTTTTCCAACAATTTTCCCCAACACTCCAACTAATCTATTTGCAATAATCTTAGTACATTACATAAAGAAATAGGTTTAAAGTCTTTAACCCTTACTGCCTCCTTCTTTTTCTGAATTAAGGTGATGAATGTAATATTCACACCCTTTCCCAATGATGGATTATCAAAGAAAAATAGCACTGCATCAGTAAACTCATTACCTACTACAGACCAATACTGTTGAAAACATCTCACTGTAAATCCATCAGGCCTCGGGGCCTTGTCTGGACTCATAGAGAAAACCGTGTACTTAACCTCTTCTTTAGTGATCAGCCTTTCAAGATCAAAAACATTCTCCTCTGAGATTCGCTTTTTGATGAACTCCATACTTGGTGTTAACTGAACTGGTCTGTCATTGGAAAACCTTCTCTGAAAATGCTGAATAAACTGATCTTGAACAAGGATATGATCATGAATGAAATCTCCTGCAGCATTTTGAATAACTGTGATATTATTTCCCACTCTATGTTCCTTACTTTTTTGATGAAATTTTTTTGAGCTTCTATCCTGATCCTTTAACCATCGGATTCTAGATTTCTGGTGTAAAAGGATAGATTCATTGGTAATAGCAACCTCTAGATTTTGCCTGCAACTCTTCTCTTGATTAATAGACTCTTCATTCATTAGATTATCAGCCAAGTTCATCTAAGTATCCTTCAGTCTCCTTCTACAAGTAATGACCTCCTCATACACGAAACCTAACTGATCTTTATTCCAATGTCTGACTGCCACTTTGACAAGCTTAAGTTTAAACATCATACCCTGAATAGGGTTGCCTCTGATATGAGCCTTCCATGTATCAATAATGATCTTTGTGACAACAGTTTGTTTATTCCATAAATGCAGAAACCTAAAAGGTTTAGGACCATCGGCTAACTGAACTGGAAATTTGACAAACAAACCTCAATGATCTGAGATCATATGAGGTGTAAGGAACACTTGAGAATTAGGAAAAGTATTAGTCCAATCTTCATTGATAAGCCCTCTATCCAACCTTGCATAAATCCTTCTATGCTGAAACCTGTTATTACACCATGTATAAATCCCATTAACTGCAGGCCTATCCACTAATCCAAGCTGATCAATGATATAATTGAAATCATGTAGAACCCTAGGACTTATACATCTTCCTTCTTTCTTCTCTGAATTATACCTGACAACATTCTAGTCCCTAATCAATAACCAAGGACCATTGAATAACTAAGCACATTCCATGAGATCAATCCACAATTATTTTCTTTCATTATTAGTATTCTCTGCATAAACAAAAGTAACAAAAAACTTCATTGTTGTCCCTCTAACTTCAACCTGAAAGAGCATCATTTGATGTCTGGATTCAAGAATATGTACATCCAACCTCAAAGAGTCACAGCCACACCAAATCCTCCCACCATCCACAGCATTATATTTACTTGCCCATGTCCAATTACGTCTAATTCGATTATCAATCATATTAAAATTATGACTACCTGTTCTAGTTTCAACCAAACCACAAAGACTAATAGAGCACTTACTCAACCAGGCCCTAACTTCCATTTGCATACTTGGCCTGTTGAGTCCTCTCACATTCCACATCCCAATCATTAAATAACAGGTGGTGGGATACTCCCACTTGCCACCATACCTCTGGTAACTCTTGTCAAATTAGGATCAACTTCAACTTTTTTCTTCTTTGCTTTTTTCCGCTGCTTCTTGGAGGACCCCATAGGAGAAATATCATTTAAGGAAATGACAGCTGATGATTGAATCATCTCCCCTGTGTCATTGCTCACCTCTTCTGGCACCCTTACAGTATCTTTAACACTGTCTATAATTTCTGTAATTTTCTATTCTAGTTCCCTTGATTCCTTTCTCTCAGGGACTTCTTCAAGCAGTTGGAATGCATTGTTCGACACCACCTGAGTTTGTTCAACCAACACCTCTTTATCTTTAGCCTTTAATCTGGAAGTAGAAGTAACTTGTATAAAACCTTCCTAATCCTTTGAAGAACTTCCTTTCTCTTTATGTGTTGTCACCTCCACCAAATCGTGAACATTTTCTGCCCCCTTGCCATCCCTGTGATCGGCATTCTCTACACCAGTGCTCTTTTTGATCACCCATTGTTCGACCAGCTTCTTCGATTTATTATTCTTTGGGCAATGCTTATCACTGTGAACAATGGTCTTACACATGTTACAGAATAAAGGCTTCCAATCATACTTAACCTAAACCTTGCATTTGTAGTCATGTAATTTAGTGTTTATAACATCTGGAAATCCTTCAGTGACCTCCATCTCTGCCAGCACTCTAACATATAAACCCCTTTCTCGACATTGATATCATTTTTGATTGTTAAAGAAACAAAATTAGCCTTAGGTTGTGTTCGGCTGCATAGAATTGGAGCTTTAGAATTGAATTGGTTGAATTTGAGTAAATTTTGATTCAATTTTCTTATTTATTTTTCTTAAATTCTACCAACTCCAATTCCAAAATTCTAATTTCATGCAACTGAACTTTCCCTTCGAATAAACCCAAGTCTGGAATTCCTATCAATCCTAAAGCATAAAATCATTATTTGGATAGCCATTTTAAACAATCCTCCCACTTTAGACAAGGAAAGCTGTCTCCTACCTCAAATCCCAAACCCTATGCTTATCCTCTTTTGAATCAACCGATCATCTTTTCTTCGAATGCCCTTTTATCTCTGCATCTGTATGCCACATCTAACAACCAATTATAGAAGATCCCATTTGTCACAAAACTCAATCCTCGACAAAATCATCTAAAGTGTTCAAGATAAACTCCTGTCATCTTCTATGGCAAGAAAAGCCAGGCGTTGAGCAGCCATTGAACATTTGTGATGACTGGTTGCAGCAGCAGAGTGCTCACTCTCTTTTCAGTTAAGCGCGGTTCTATTACGGCATTTTGTTCAGAATTGTTGGGCTGGGCTTGCCTTTGCCTTGTAGACAATTACTTTTGTTTGGTCTCTTTGGGTTGGCCCTCTCCTCCCTATTTATTATTAACTTGGGCCTTGTCCCTCCTAACCTTTTCTCTTTTGCACTGTTGTAAATAATTACTTCATATATATATAATTGTTTGATTTTTTTTTTTTTTTTTTTTAAAAAGGTCTATCTCGTTCATATATATGAACTCAATTTGGATTTGTGACAAATATAAAAAGTTAGAGTTTGAGCTGAATTTGAGTTAGTGAAGTCATCAAACATATTGTTGATAATACTGTATGAATCTTGTATTTATGAGTCTCTCTCTCTCTCTCTATATAATCTTAGGAAAAAGAAAAATAATTGTTTAAACTAACAACACATGAGACTTATTGCACCACCAGTCTGATTTGTTTGTGAAATGCATGTTTATCTTTAAAAAGGAAGATTAAAAAATTTTATTTATTGCTTCCTAAACAGAATGGGTAAAAATGTAATTTACAAAGAAAGTCAATGCCACGCGTATCGCGGACAATTTCAGCTCTCCGAACGCGTTTCGTTCTTCTACACCTAATCGATGAAGGAAAAGAAAATAAATAAAAAATAAATCAGAAGCAGTTGAGAGAGCGCCTGAGAAACCCTTCGGAGTCCCAAAATTTCTCTCGGCTTCCGCTGCAGATCTCGTCCAAAACCATGGTAATCTCATCTCTCTGTCTTTACCTTCCTTTGATTACCTTCTCAGAGATCGTCATGATTCGTTTCCTTTTTAAATTAAATCAATTATTATTATTATTATTATTATTATTATTATTACAATTATAAATTTCAACTGTCAACTAGATTATCCTCATTTTAGAATTTGATTGAATTTTACCTAATTTTGTTAATAAAACTGGATCAGATCTGGACCTTGGTTATATATATATGTATATGCTGTACCGGTTTACATTTTACTCTCTCTCGCTTGAATTATTTATAGGTGGTAAAATATTATCGTATATACGTGAATTGATGTAGACTTTCCTCTATCACCTTAGTGCCTTTGATGTGTATCTTTGTTTCGTAGCATGAAATTTGAATTGGAGCGAAATTTTCTAGATTAAAGTATGAAATAGATTTTCTCCAATTGCAATTCCATGCTTCCATTCAATGTGAAAAATGATAACCTAATGAGTATGATATATATACAAAGTTTGTATTTTTGTGGTGAAAGAGGATGTGCAGAATGATCATGGGATTAATATGGGATTTTAGTAATCTTAGGTAGATCCCTTAAAATCCAGTTGAACACCCCCCCCCCCCCCCCCCCCAAAAAAAAAAATTTAATTAAAGTTTCGACAATGCATTTAACTTTTATCCAGAATCAGGATTTTAGTTTTCTAGGCAACATTAGTGAATGAAAAAAAAGGCTATATGTTCAATGTTTGAATTGTTAGATTCAGCTGCACAATTCTTCTTCGTACTGAAAATCAGAAATTTGAAAGCTATATTTCATGGCTTCTTATGGAACTTTTTAATGGTAAATTGAATGTGGTTTCTTATTTTTTATTTTATTTTTGTATCATAGAATGTTATGTAAATCTGTTAGATTTGAAGGGACTGCACCTTAGACCATTTAATATCCTACAGTATTAGATTAACAAGGGCCCAGCAGAGATCGGTATGCTTTCATACAAGACCAGTTACTGTTAAATCATGAGACTTGAATGTTAATCTTGCCATGGCCTCTAGGAGAAGAAGAATTAAACAGTACTCATTTATTCTTTAAAATGCGGTACAAAGTAAATGCATTTTATTGCTAGTTGAACGAATTTTTAATTTAACAGTAATTGAGGATATTACGGTTACTTTTAGTATGATTAGGTTTCCCATTGTGCTAATAGTCATATTTGCTTCTCTTCTTCAATAAGTATCTTGTTAACATATTGTACATGTGGGTTTGGTTTTTTCTTACAATTGAAAATTATTCATAATCAGCTGGCTATTACCATGTATAGTTGTATTATATGTATTGAAGGATTTAAATATTTAAGTTACACCCTCTCTAACATTTTAAGCTTTTAGAGTAGATGGTTGCGTCTTCAAATCTCACCGTCATCCTGATTTAAAATTGAAACACATGTTGGACCAAAAGAAGGTCACACGTGAGGGGGTGTGTTGAAGGATTTAAATACTTAAGTTACCCCCTCTCTAAGAACTTAAGCTTTTAAATTAGATGGTTGTAAACGGTATTCTTGTTTTTATTGAATGGTCATAATATCTTTTCTGAAATTACAAAAATACCTTTCTATGTCTTGATCTTGTTGCACCTTCAATGATGGCACATGGCCGAACCATATCAGCTGAGCATGCTTACGCATTACAAATCATATGGTCTAGAGAATCATCACTATTCACGCGCACACACATGCACATGCACATGCACATGCACATGCAGATGCACAAAGGGATTAAAAGGTGTCACCGACATTGTTGAGTTTAGAGCTGTATATAGAGTTCTTTGGTAAATTATGTTGAGATGCCTTCTGGGTAGTTTAGTAATTTTTATTTAAATTTGCTAGTCCTTTTTCTTCAACAGATAGTATGGAATTTTTTATTTTTTGTTGCATCTACAGACAACCTCAAGGCGTCTTGCAGATCGGAAGGTGGAGAGGTTTGAGAAGAACATCAAGAAGAGGGGTGCAGTGCCTGAGACGACAACAAAGAAAGGAAATTCTTACCCAGTTGGGCCTCTTGTGCTTGGGTTCTTCATGTTTGTTGTCATTGGATCATGTGAGTTCATTTCTTGGGTTAATGGTGCTAATATTATTCAATTGGAACTTTTACGGAGCAAATTGCATTACCTTTATTTTCTTATCATCTGTATTTTGATTTCCTAAAGTTAATAATACACATAAAACAAACTTGTGCTTCTTTAAAGCATAAATGGAGGTACATCTGTTATCTGTTGGATAAGGAGGAAGAGATTATTTTGTGCTGCTTTCCCTCTGACCAAGAATTGGAACACATTCATGCACACAACCATATTCCTCGCTAAGCCGTTGTTTAATTCGATTTCAACAAAAGATCCGTTAATGAATAGCTAGAAGTCTCTCTTTATGCCTTTTTTTCTTTTTTCCACCCCTCCCCCCTGCCCCTTCCCGGTTGGGTTGGGAAGGAGGTTGGATTCTTTGAATTGTTCTTTGATGTGCGAGTAGTTTATGTCAACTTCTAAAGGAGTTATGTTGATTCTTGGCAGATATTTTACATTTGAGTTTGTTCTGCTGATGTAAAATATGATATTATATTAAAAAAAAACGGTGTTCACAGCCCTTGTTCTATTCTCTACCGAGAATGATTAGAATGTTAATCTAGCATTGGATTGGCTGTTTGGTTGGGTAGTTGTAAAAACGGGTGCAAAGGACTACTACATTGACTATAGGACAAAGGGGAGTGTATGGTCCCCTCACATGGGTGCTTTTTAGTAGCCGAAGATGCTCAATGTTTTTGCTAAAATAAAAACCAAAACGAAACCATCTATTTTGTTTGATGTAGTTTTGCTCTTATCTTGTCTATGCCTCTGGCCCTCTGTTGTTGTTTTTTTTTTCCTTCCTGATTTCAATTTCTTCTTTTCTGCTGTGCCAGCTTTGTTTCAGATAATCCGAACTGCCACAAGTGGAGGAATGGCTTAAATTATTATGTGCCCTTCAGTAGTAGTGAGCTTGGGCAGCAGCAGGCTTGCGATGGTCTCCTCTGTTGTATTTGTTATTTTTAATTGTTACTTTTGTGCACTGTTAGTCTGAACTGAAAATCCCCTTGTGTAACAAAGCATTGGACTAGGGTATTTTTTGTGACTAGAAGAGCCTAAATAATTTTAAAGATGAACCGAGTCTTCTCTGCAATTTTGCAGTTCTTATGATTTTTGGCTACATTTACAGCATCCATCCTTTCTTTGCTGAATTCATTGTTGCTCAGTTTCTGCTGTGTAAGTTTGCAATTGCATATGAACGGGTGGTAGGCTACCATTCAGAACGAATAACAGACCATCTTGAAACCCTTGGAAGAGTGGTCGGGGGAGGTCATAAGTGTCTATACCGTAAAATCGATTCCCTTTATTTTGTTATTATTTAGGACGATTCAGTTTGGAACCAAAATTAGACCTGTTTAGTGATTGAGTGGTTTAGTGGATAAAAATGTTATTAAAATTTATTTGTTTTTGGAAATCTAAGTTTTAGAGCTTCTATATATTTTTCGTGTGTGTAATTTTTCACCCCATATACATTAGTTTAGATTTATCGTCTTTTCTACTTGGCCTTTTTTATTATAATATGTTGTATGGGTGACATTCTGTGAGTAAAAGCCCATAGGATAGACCAAGCACTTCCTTCAATGTCATAGCTACGAGTACACAAGAAATAGGTGACCAATACTTCCCCTAGCCCCATAGGATAGCTGTTACAAGAGAGACTTGTCCCACGTTGGATCCGGATAGAAAGTGACATGGGTAAAAATGAGTGGGTATGTAGTATTACCTAACAGTTTGACCTTTTGGGTAAATGGGCAAGCGTCCATCCATTACAGTTGGTATCAGAGTCAGACCCAATCCTTGATTCTGTGGCACACCAAGCGCCTGGCTCGGAAGGCGTCCAGGTGAGCCACCCCTGATAGGCAGGGTGGCTCGACAACAACGAGTGCATTGCGATGCGAGGTCGGGTGGGGGAGAATTTTACAAGGGGAGACTTGTTCCACATCGGATCCGGATGGAAAGTGACATGGGTATAAATGAGTGGGTATGTAGCATTACCCAACAGTTCGAATTTTTGGGTAAATGGACAAACGTCCACCCGTTATAATAGGTCATACTGCCCTGAACTTACCACACCCCTATTTCTGATAGCTAAAATAGAGAGTGTTGGTCATGTAAGGGGGATTTGGGCAAGAATCAAACTAAAGACGTCTGAATTTACAATTCACTCCGGGAGATGTCCAAATTCACTACTAGGTGTAATAGGTTACCTGGAATATTTGCATATTTGATGTAAGTGTGTCCCGTCATTTTTAATAATTTTCTTTCTGTTTGTTTTCTCTCGAATCCAACTAAATGAATAATATTCATCATTTTACTACTTATCAAACAAATATATATATATATATCATCATAAGAGTCACTACTTATCAAACAAATATATATATATATATCATCATAAGAGTCATATACTGTTCTTGCGCTAATTTTGGTCGCATTGTTCATAAATAAAAACTGAAATTGCATCACTATTTCTAACTTGTACCCTAGTTGAAAAAAACTTCGCAGGCATTAAGGCTCCGACGTAAAATATTTTGATCGGACAATATATTCTTTTTTCAGTAAAATATTTTATTTTATTTTTAATTTTCAGTGTTTGGCAAAAGTTTAAATTGAGATTGAAGCTTGACTCTATTGGATGAATTATTTTTTTTTGTTAGGTTTTAATAAATTTTTTTGTTTATAAATATTTTATAACAACCAAGCAAAACACAAAATATTTTTCAAAATACTACGTATATTTTATGCCCATCTCTTTGGTTTTGAAAAATAAACTGAATGAGTTGGCAACGTATTTGTAGAAGTTGGAGGTTGCCGGGAGGCCCTACCTCTATGAATACGGTGGGGCCTAGTTAAAATCACTAGGCCCAAGAAGAATGAAGTGAAATAAAGGCACCTAGCTGAGACCATTAGGGCCCAGAAAAAGTGAAGGGCCAAGTTAAAACCCTGGGCCCACCTAGTTAAAACCACTCGGCCCAAAATTAATTAAGAAGAATAAAGGTACCCTACTTACCCAAATCCATTAATGAAGAAGAGTGAACCCGCTTCCTTCTGAATCAAAACCAACCCAAGGGGGAGTCTCTTCTCTTCATCAAGGGTACTTTTGTCATATGAAAATCCGTCATCCAGTTTTGACTAGTATTTATTTTTTGGTACGGCAATGCTGAATTTTTTACCTCAACGCGTCTTCTCTCTCACATATCGATATTAATATATATATATACACTACGTATATATATCCGTGCATTGTTCGAGTGATATTGTCGCAGCAGAGCAGAGAAATGGATGCCCTAGATTCAGTCGTCGATCCACTGAGGGATTTTGCTAAGAACAGCCAACGACTCGTCAAGAAATGCCACAAGCCTGATCGTAAAGGTAATAGACACATATACACACACCTTTATGTATACATGTCGATTTATATATAAATTGAATCTCCCGAATCGAAGTTTCAAAATTCACCATCAGCTAGTTATTGGATTTGCGGTATATACTCTACAATCCACAAAGAATGGAAGCCCCAAGCGCCTCTAGGGTTTTGCGGATTTGGGGGAAGCCAATCTATGGGTTGAGCTTAGTTGAAAGCCACGAAAAAGAAAAATGAAAAAGGAATATCAAAATTTTAGCTTTGCTAATTTGTGATTTGAATTGATGTGGTGTAGAATTCACGAAGGTTGCGATCCAAACCGCAATAGGTTTTGTGGTGATGGGATTTGTTGGATTTTTCGTGAAGCTGGTTTTCATCCCCATCAACAATATCATCGTTGGTTCTGCTTAGGTACGCTAATTGAATCTGTTCTGTTGTTATTGGGTTTTGAATTTCTTTACTAGTTTTAGTTAAAATGGCATACTTATTGGAACATTTTTTTTGGGATCAGATCTTGTAATTTACTACAGGTGTAATTAAAGGTGTTTGATCTAGTTCATAACAAGCTTAGGGTTATTTTGTATTATCTTCCAATAGATCACCACGGATTTCCTTCGATTTGTAATTGCAATCTTAGAACTAATAGCATCAAAACATAGTCTTTGAATCAAATTTCAAAACCTTTTGGTTTCCCATCCTTCCTAATAATATCTATAATCTAGATATTGCGTGGTTATGTTTGTATGAACAGTTTTCTATTTGATCGCTTTGAATCACCTATCTGTGATGAGGTTGTAATTGTATTTTCAAATGTTAATAGTCATGAAACGCTGAACTTTGTAACTTCTGGTGTCGTTTCTCTTTCTTTTTATAATATTGACTACTTTATAAATCTCTTCTTAGATAAAATAAAATTTCAAATTCTATTAAAATAAGAACTTGAAGGAACACAAATTTAGATACAACAGTTCTGTTTTAGAAGAACACTACATCCTGTTCATATCAGCATTAGATGCTCAGTAGAAAGAAAAGGGAAAAAAAAAAAAGGGCAGGAGTATCAAAGTGGGTTATTTTTTATTATACACATTAGGATTGTCGTTGTTATGATTAATTGTTTTGCTGGTCATATTATATTGATTAGGTTGTGGTACACCCTTATATATAATTAGGAAATAAATCCAATTGTGTGAGCTATAAGAAGATATGTCATTATCTACTATTCATCAATAGTGAAAAGTAGAGACAAGACACTATTCATGAACAGTGAAAGCCGATTCCATCCTATCTGGACACTATTCATGAACAGTACTTTTACTATTCATCAAATAGTAAAAGTGACTTTTATTATTTTTCCTTTTCTATATAAACCGATGCATTGTTTAACATTAGATATCTGAAGTTTCAAAATGTGGAATATGAGTACATAGATTTGGGTTTTTCCCAACTAAATTGCATATACAACTTACAGAAGTCTTTTGTTGTGCCATGAGAAACAGTTAATGGTTCTTAAGACCTTTTGATTCTGCTTAGGTGCATAAAAAACCAAGATTTCCTTTTGAAAGCCTAAACGTCACACAGACTATGGCAAAGAAAGGAAAGTATGGGCTTTAAAATAGGAATCAAACGTATGAGATTTATAACAGTAAACATGCACAATAAGAGATAATGTAATAGAAACTGTAAAATAAATGAAAAACAAACTTACAATAGTAATCCAAGCTCGTAGTCCAAGCTCTGATACGAGTTGAAGCGGAAAATAAACAAATTGAGAATGTTTACAAGAGGGAGAGAAAAACTAAAACTTCAAATATCTGATATTAAATGATGCATCGGTTTATATAGAAAATGGAAAATAATAAAAGTCACTTTTACTATTTGGTGAATAGTAAAAGTACGGTTCATGAATAGTGTCCGGATAGGATGGAATCTGCTTTCACTGTTGATGAATAGTAGATAATAATATTTCTTCTTGTCGTGTGCTGGATTGCTGTGCAGTCGATCGGTAAGAAGTTGATGTTATCCTTCCATTGCATTGATGAGATTATGGAGTTCATACTCATCTAGAGGAGGACTGCTTGTTGGGCTATAGGTGTTTAATGTCCAGTCAAGTTCAAGTTGTTCTGCGCCCATAATAATTTGGGGGGGGGGAGGGGGGGATTCTTAATTTTTGTTAAGAATTCATTGGATTCAAGACGCTGTTCATATGTATAGAGTGGATATTCCATGGACAGCTGTGTGTGACAAAGAGTCTTCTTCCGTCACAAACTTTGAAGAAAGGAAAATCTACTTCTTGAGTTATTTTTCGTGCATTGTCTTTTAGGTGCAAAAGACTTTCGATAGATTTCTTGCAACTTGTAGAATGTAGATTGCTCAACAAATCTATAATATTAAAAAATAAATGTATGAATGCCATTGAAAATACTTAAGAATCCTACACTATAATAAACTATTTCCACAACTAAATCCCAAATATAAGCTTTTTGAGGATAGTAAGTGCTCCTAAGGAGAGGTGAGGGGTTCAAGTCCCATAGTGGGCAAATGTGTGTGTGTTGAGTGTTTACCTAACCAAAAAAATAAAAAGTGCTACTAAACTCTAATAGGAAAAAATTCTAAAATAGGAGGGGAAGGAAATTCTTTTGCATTCATACCTTTTCCTGATTCTGGTTTGCATTTACTTTGTGCCCTTAAAGGAGAGGAGGCGACATTATGTCTCCATCATGTAGAGCAAGAGTTCTTTTGGTTTTTAAGAAAAAGGGATCTCTAAGAGTTTCTCTCTGATGAAGTGGGTCCTTAAAGTCCATTAGATTTATGTGGTAGCACTTGTCAAACAGTGGGATTGCGTGAGATTTTGCACCAAGTGTTAGTCTATGTATCAGTATCAAATGACCAACGCAAAACTTCGGTATACATCTGATAGATGGCAGTAATTTGGAAATTATTAAAAAAAGAAAAGAAAAAAAGAATGGGATTAGAGAATAGAAATATTATTCTATCAGATAGGTCAGGATGGGTTTATAATTGTGTTGAAGCTATCTGCAGATCACCTGCATTTTTTTCTAAACCTTGCTACATGTCACAATTCTTTTGGCAATTTTTTAAATTGAAGGGTACACTTCTTTTTTATCGAGAATATGATCCATTGTCATCAAATCATGTTTATAAATATACATATCTACACATGCGTACATTTTTCTCTATGCGATAAAGATAGATTGTGACTATAAGATTTCTAAATTGCAGAATTCACGTTATTGTTATAGAATATTGGATTCTTAAAAGGAAAACTTTTTGTTTTATATAATATAATGTTTAATGAAAAATTGTTATTGTATGTAATATAATATTCATGTATAAAAATATTGATTTTATTGTCATGTCCTCATGATGAAAATTAAGATTTTCCCTGTTGGCTTGTTTGTGTTATATTGTGTCTCTGTCTATGCTACTACTTGGCACTTTAATAAAAAGCATTAAATTGACGTTAATTAGTAACCGTATGATAATTTTAGACAAATATTACGAGAGATTGCTGGTTTGTTCAATTAGTATATTGTACTGTTAAAAATCAATCAGACATCAACTATAGCTGTGATTGTATTATTTGATTAATTGTGTGGTATAGCTATAATTTTGTCACACATCCAAAAATCAAAATTTTAATATGAGGTTTTAGGATGGTGTAGAAGTTTATTGTTTATTGTATTTAGACTCGTTTTATCATCAAATCATCATAGTGAAGAACACTGGGAATTCATTGAACAAGCCTATTATTGTTAATGGTGCAGCAATTGGCATTTTATTTCAGTAAGCTATAAAATGATGGAGAAGAAAAGACGTTTTTTCTTAATAGGCGTGGAATTCTTCATTGCTGATGTTTATTCGACCATAAATTTACTGGCTTATGTTTTGTGTCAACTGTTTCCACATTTTGGATTAAAAAGTTTAAAACTGTGGCTGAGTTGATCTTCTGTATAAAATTGCAGATTATGTGGAGGGTTAAAGTTTTAACAGGATGGCAAGTCTGCCCAATCGCAATTTTAAAGGAAAGCTTAGTGCTAACATCCTTTAGTGATAAATTTTAATATTTGAAACTAAATTTTGGTGGCTTCTTCAATCTATGTTCCTGTTTCATATTCGCTGATGTAAAATACTCTTAATCATTCTGTTAAATTAGTTGGCCAATTTTTTTAACTGCCTTGAGGTTGATAAGCATCATGTTGCTATTAATTTCTGGTTGGCTCTAAATACTTTGATCTAAAAGTTCCCCTAGGCAACACCCACCATCCCAGGCTTCATGCCCGGAATTCTTGACCAGGGTTTTGCTGTATCCTCTCGAGTTAGGAAGTTGAGTATAGACTTGTCCAAGTTGCAGGAACTTATCACTACTAGATGTTTGATTCTGATTCGCTTGAGTCAAATCTTGAGGTCGATATACTCTTTACAAGAAGCATGTCAAAGAATTAGATTAAGATAATTTGTCTGACTTAGTTTTTATACATAGATGAGTTATTATTATTATTATTATTTTTGATAAGTGACATAGATGAGTTATTTTGACTATCCCTGGTAGTTTAGAAATATTATAGAATGGATATCAGATTAGACTGAACAATGATAATGATGCAACTTGTTGACTTGGATAAACTACTCTTCATTGGAAAGGAAATCTGGCAAATCTCACACAATCTTTGTTTTGTGGAGTGGCTTTTATATGCATAATAACACCAATGGACATTAGTCCAGATGGGGTATCTATACGTTTGTTTGGATTTTTGGAAAACGACAAGCATAGCGTCCCTGTCACTGCCATTACTGGGCAAGTCCCAAGAGGAATGATAACTGTTGTGGGTTACACGGTCCCTCAAGTGACAAATTGCTCAATGGGAGGATCAGTTGTGTTCTAGTTGGGCACACTCATATCAGAGTGACCAAGGAAAAGAGAATAAGATATTGCCAAACATGTTGTGAGATTCCTCCAACCAGTGTGATCAAGAAGGGAGATCTTAGGGCTGCAGTGTAAAACACAATGTTTGAGATTTTTTAAAACTTAGGAGGAGTTTGTGTATTTTTCCCCATATAGAGGGAGAGGTTAATGTAATTATCGCTTGTTAAAGGGTGGGAGAGAGATCTGCGAGGATGATTCATACATTCTATTGATCCTTTATAAATACCCTCGTTCACAGTTTTACCCAAAGCAAACAATATTTGTAAATGGTACAGTGAACCGATTGGGAATGAGTTAGTCGTTAGGTGGCCAGTGGACATAGTCTTTGATAGGAAGTTACATGTAGAGAGAGAGAAAAGAAACAAATAAGAGATGGACAAGAGAGTGAGTTGAGAGAGCTGTCGATCATAGAGGAGAGAGAACAATATGAAGACATATTGGGGGGTAATTCAAAGTTATTTTTTTACATTTTATTTCTGAATAAATTTAGGTGGAGTGCTTGTTTACAATTTTGCAGCGCCAATAGCAACTCCCAATATTAACACAAGATTTTCAAACATTAATTTTATTGTTTATGAATGTTGGTTTTACTTGACTGTTTTCTATAGTTTAGTTTGAATGTTGAGTGACTTCACTGGTTCCTTTATTAGGGGTGAAGGTAACTCAAACATTTTCTTGGTTTCATGATTTTATAAATTAAGTACTCTATTTTTTCTACATGTCAAGTAGTTTCAAATTCTTCTTCTAGTTTTTCTAAAATTTATTCTTCTCTTAAGGTTTTGAAGTTCTATTTCCTTCATATTTCCTATGTCATTTCTTTTGGATACTGATTTTCGACCTTGGTTAAAAGTTTTTATTATTTTTATTGGCTTGATTGTTATAGTGGGAGTTAGGTTTCCTAAAGCTTCCTGTGTTAGCCAATATTCTTTTATTTGTTTTTGTCCTTTTTCCTAGATGGGGTTCCTCGGGAATTCTCTTTTTCTTTTTAAAAAGACTTTACAAATTTTTTATTTTTATTTTTAACTCCTATATATTTTTATTAAGATTGCCCATTTGTTGTTCAATCTTATGTAAGGATTCACTATTTCTATTATTGCTGCTATTAACCAATTATTCTGGTTTATGACTAATTGAGAAATTTCAAGAGTTTTCTCTAATCTCTACAACCTTTCGTAGATTGATTATTCTAAGGTTGTAACCTGTTATCTAATTGTTCTTAGAAATTATTCATAATCTTTTGAATTAATAGTTTAATTTTACTTTGAATGGGAAAAATAGTTTTGGCTAATGAGTTGATTTGGATCAATTTTTAAAGTTTCGACTATATTTTTTTATTTATGTAGTTTTTGTTTTAATTTTACCTGGTCACTTAAATTTTTATCACTATTTTTTAGAGCTTTTACTGTGGCTAATTGAGCTCTGGCTGAATATTTTTCATGATTTTTCAAGATTTGGTGTAGCTTCTTCTCTAGGTTTGTAATTGTAGAGTTATCAAAGTCAATGACTTATGGAATCAAATTTCTTGTTTTGATTTAAGATTTCTCAAATTTGGTTTTTCGTCTAAATTTAACTTGATTAAATACAGCTTTCTTACCCGCACAGGTTGCCTAGTAGATAAGGGTGTACACTCGTGTTTTAATGATACGTGAGCTTTCTAACCCGCACACAGTAGGTTGAATTATTTATTTATTTATTTATTTTTTAATATATATATATATATATATATATATATATATATATTTATTTTAACTTTCTAAATAGTTCTTGAACTTCTATCCCCCCCTTTCATTTTTGACTGAGAAATGTTGGTTTGATTCTAAATTAACCATTTTGTATTATGAAGTTAAGGTAAATTCATGATGGAAAATATGGTTTAAGATAAATTACAAATAATAATTTTGGCTTCTTTACTATTTTTCTCAAGCTAGGTTCTTATTAATATGTTTCTTAGAATTAGAGTTTAATTAAAATTTGTGAAGCTAACGACTCGTACGCTACTTGGAACAATCAAAATTTAAAAGTAAATAAGATTTGATTTTTTAACTTGCTAAAATTATTTTATTACATATCTTTTTCACCTCTCTCACACCCTATAAACCTCTTTTATAGCTCTCATAAAATGTTATAAAATTTATCTTTTTGTCAAACACCTTTTTACAAATTCTAATTTTTCTTTATCTTTTCTTCTTTAAAAAAAAAAAAAAAATTTATTTTTCAATGTTGGCTAAACCTTAAATTGATCTTTCGATTTATTTTTATTTTTATGTTTTTGTTAATGACAAAAAATTCACACTCATCGTTAACACACCTATTTCGTTTTTTGAGAGATTTATATACTTTAAAAAGTTTCGATTTTTGAGAGATTTATATATTTTAAAAAGTATAGGAGATATCACTAAACACGAATAGGGGCGGGCCAAGGGGCCATGGCCCCCCAAAATTTTAAAAATGCCTATTACTATATGGCCCAACAAGACTAATTATGTATAAGTCAATACTTGGTCCCCCAAAATTTAAAAAATGCCTATTACCATATGGCCCAACAAGACTAATTATGTATCAGTCAATACTTGGTACCCCGAATGTATCAGTCAATAGTCCCCCGAATAAAATTTTTTAATGGGCCAGCAACTTT